GAGTATCGCGGGTCCCCCTCTTGTAGTTTCTAAGTGAGATCTTCTGGATCCAATGGTTATTCCTAATTAAAATATGGTAAAGTTAATCAGCAATAGACCTGTAATATTGAGGAGATGCTGATGCAGTTTAAAAGGCTGTGTGTCAGTGCCGTTTGCTTACCAGAGCAGCAGTTCTTTGGAATACATATATAAGCAACACCTGCAGTTTTTACATGGCATGGCTAAACTACATTCAGCACTGGGTGTTGTCTGTCTAGGAATCTAAAGAATTAAAAAAAGTGAATTAGATATGTACAGGACCTCTGGGGAGGGGAGTGAGAGATTTCGGAACTTTTACACACCCCTTTTGTGACCTGCATTGACACTGCAGAGCAACTTCACAGCCCTGGGAATAACATACAGAGTGCCAGTGTATTGGCCCCAGCAGCACTGCTGCTGGGCTCTTTCAGGTTGGGAAAACACAGTGGGAAAGTGTTTTTAAAACACCTTATCCTACAATTATGTGAGCCTGGGACTGTTTTTTGAGAAAAAAGAAAAAACAAATTTGAGCTGTATTCTTTTTGGTTTACCTCTGGGAAGATTAGTGGAATTAATGGATAACATTGAAAAGTAAGTGAGTCCTATGGAAAAGTGAAGGTGGCAGACAAAATGGAACATGCTCTGAAGAGGGTTAAATCCAGTAGTTGTAATTATGCCTGAAAGAGAGCAGGGAGCATTCCATAATGTATAAACAGAGCAGTTTGAAGAATATTTTCAGCTGCCTGCTGTAAAGGAAACTCAGCCTGAGCAAAATGTATAGTATTTAAGTGCACTAATGGATTCTTGGAAAATAAGTACCTTAAAAACAAGATGAAAAGTAATTAATAGTAATAATAACCTGTCTTGGCTGTAAAGCGTATACTCTAAAGAAACATAAGGCTGCAAGGAAAAGGGAAGGGTTACAAAAGGGAAAGATTAAACCTCAGCATCACAGAACAGTAGACAGATTTTTCAGGAGCTATTTAAAGACTTGCCAGGAAGGGAAAATGTGGATATGAGAAGGCAATAAAAGCCTGAGAAAGGGGCACCAAGAAAGAAAGGACAGGGCGTGAGACAGAAGTAACCTGAAGGTCTAGCCAAGGAAAAGCCTGGGCAGAATAAAGACGGCAAGAAAACAACTAAAGAGAAGAGGATAAAGCTACAAAAAATGAATATATTTAAGGACAAAAGTAGTAACTTGAACTGGATATCTTAAGAAAGCAGGAGCCAGTCAATGGGGCACAATAAAGGAAAAGCCAGAGCAAGATGAGATGTGGGCAGAAGGAGGCAGCAGATTTAAGAATGGAGGAAAGAGGAAGAATCTGAGCGGGAGGCAAACCAGAAGGAAATCTAGCTGGATGATAAGTGTGCTGTGCTGTGTACATTCAATAGTTCTCTTGGCAAGTACAGATTTACAAGATTGCCATTTGTTATGCCTTCAGCACCAAAAATACAGAAAAAATTGTTCCAACAGATATTTGATGATGTTGACAGTATCACAGGATAATACAGAAAATATAGTGTGAAGAAAGATGAAGCATGAACATGAGAAAGTGGAACAAAGTCTAAACAGGAGTTGAAAGAGGATTCTGAAGCTGACTATAAGAAATGGGAGTTTGCTTTGTCAGAAACAAAATACCTTGAATCTTCCTCTGAGTAATCTTTTTAAAGCAGGTTTGTTCTTTGGACAATACATTTCATTGATGGCTTTTACTTGAACTGTAGAATTCATTAATTCTCCTCTGATTAATTTTTATTCATCTATCCATGCCTCTCTCCTCAATAGGGACCCAAAGCCTCTTACATCATTCTCCTCTCCTCCATTTTATCTTCATATCAACCCTGTGAGGTAGGTTAGGCTTGGAGACTATGACTGGCCCAAGGCCACCCAGCAAGTTTCCATGGATTAGTGGGGATTTGAACCCAGGTCTCCCAGATCCTAATCCAATACTCTTCACCACTATATCCCACTGGCTCTAATTAACTCCTGCTATAACTAAATAGAAGCCATCAGTGAAGTATTTGTTTAAGGGATATCTAATAAAGACTCTCAATAGTCAGTTATCTAGCAGTTATTTCCAAATACAGCAACTGTGAGGTCCTTATTAGGAGAATTATTGGTCCAAGTTGTGTTTTACTGGATGCTCAGCCATGAAAGAGCATTTAAATAGTTGAACACATATACTGAAATATTGCGATGCAAAAAAAAAAAGCAACTTTCAATGAATAATAGTTCTAAAGAATTTCTGTATTGTTATGAAAAGGCTCCATTTTAAAATATTCTTCAAAAACGTTGGCAACTACCCAAATTAACTATGCTCAAATGGCAGTAGTGTTAGCAATTGTTTCTGGGTGCTCAAACTTCACGGGATTCATCAGTGCAAACACAAACTTATGAAAACACTACATCTCAAACCCTTAGGGAGGGGTCTCCCAAGAGTGGGAAAGGTGCAGTTCCACTCAGATGCAGCAGGAGGCTGTGGATTTTCCTGGTGAGGAAGAGGATCTGTTTCACTTCAGTGAAAGGCAGGCTGAGGAGACAGAGAGGGAGGGTGAAGATTTCATGGGAGTTCTTGATGATAGTGAGGCTAGTGTGGGGTCAGAGGAGCAAACAGCTGGATGCTTGGGGGAACCAGAGGGGTTGCTGGAGGAGGTCCAGAGTGACTCTAATCTGGAACGAGTTCACCAAGTAGCTGTAGATCAAAAAGTGGAATTTTCTGAGACTCTCTCTGAACAGGTTGTCTGGAAAGCAGGGCAGACAGGTGTCCTGGGAAGCAATTAGACTGTTTGTGGTTCCTGAGAAGTACAGGAAAAGATTCACGGAGTTGAGACATGACATTCCATGTGCTGGGCAGCTGGGAATCAACAAGAGTAGGCCAAAGCCTCTGTTGCATTCTTACCGGCCCAAGTTAGCACAGGATGTGAGAGATTGTTGTAAGTCTGAAGTGACTTTCCAGAGAGTGGGCAAGAATGGATGCAAGGTGAGGGCACCTTCATAGTCTCTTCCTATTCTGGGCGAGTTTGGGAGGAACATCAGGGGACCGCTGGCTCTTAGAAGGGAGAGATGGAAAGATCCCTGAGGCTGAGAAATCAGTGGTAGTATTATGTATTTTTAAGAACAGCTGAAAAAGATGAGTGTTGCGAGGGAGAACCTGGTTAAGTCCAAGGTGAATCAGAGCAGCTGGAATGATAAAAATAGCTGGATCTCTGACTTTTGAGCTTCATGACAAGGTGATGGTATTTCTGCCTTCTTGCATTGACAAGCTGATAGCTGCACGGGGAGGGCCTCATGTGCATTTGGATTGGATAGGCAATGTCAGACGTAGTCTTTATGGAAAGGTCAGGGAAAAGGACCAAGGATGTTCATGTGAACAGATGGAAACCCTATCTTGACAGGGAAATGGATTTGACTAGGCACAAAATAGATGCAGGGTCTCACCTGGCTGTCAGGTGGTCCCCTTACAGAGTGAATGGTAAGGGCTGTTGGCAAATGGAATCCGAGGGAGAAGTCAGAGATAAATCTGCCTCCATCACTCCAGACTGTATGAGGTTATTGTGTTGCATTTTGGACCTAGGAACACAGATGTATCCTTTCAGCTGGCAAATGTCATGTCAAAATTTGCAGTGGCTCATATTGACTACATCACAGCTTCTTGCAAAGACTAGGGTTTGCACCTAGAACATTTAGCAAGTGTTAAGTAATGTCCAAGGGGCAGGTCTCTGCATCAAGCTGGAAAAATGGCTGTTTGGAATGGCAGAGGTGGTCTTCTTGAGATACAGAGTGGATAGAAGGAACATCCCACCAATGAGGGACAAGATAGAGGCAGTCTCAAGTTGGGAACCCCTTAAAGGCCAAGAGGCAGGTTGGGGCTTTTCTGAGTTGTGATCCTACAATGGCAGCAGACTGTGAAGAACCCGAACACCAAACTTCAGAGGTAGTCTTTGAAGGCTGAGGAGTTCAACATAAAGACTGAACATACTGGACACAACAACATGGTTGCAGATTTCCTTTCCAGGAAGGACATGGACTCCAAAAGTGGACCGATTCCTATGTGGGATTATATACTGGATGATTTGCATGTATATTCTCTAATGTACAACACATTTCACATGTTTTATAACTGATTTGTTTGGATTCGCTGCAGAGCAACCCTCTGTAAAAGGATGCTCTTCTGCAGGAAACCATTGGAGGGGGATGAGCAAAGGAATGCATTTTTTCTTTCGAGGTTTGAAATGAGCAAAATCTTCACTCTTGAGTTTTAAAAGTTTTTTCCCCCCTCTCTGGGCAGACAACAGGCAGGAAGGGAGGAAGTCAGTTCAACTACTTTGCAGACTTACCTCAGCCCACCTCCATACAAATGCTAAGAGGTCTAGACAATGAGATGGCCAAGGCAGCCCCCCCCCCCCAAAAGCAGGGAACAATGCTTTGGAGGAATACTAAGGCTTCAGGAAGGAAATTTCTGGAGACATCAGGAAAAGCTTCCTTGACCTGGCCTGACCAGGTCAGTGGGAGGAGAAAGAGAGGTGATAAAACTCAGGGAAGCAAGGAGGAAGCTTGCTCTTGTGCTGTCTTCATCAGACCAGACAGAACTCTTAACTGAGGTCTGAAGGAGCTGACCATTAATCACATGCTGGCCTGGGGAGCAAGAAGGAAGCTTCAAGGTAAGTGTGACTCTGCAGAGATCTGTAAATTTATAAGCTAAGGAGCCTGTCCTATATTTTAACATCTGATAGGGCATGTATAGGGAAAGGAATAGAGGAATGCGTTTTACCCATTTCTTTTGAATCCCTTGCTCAATCTGGTGCCGTGCTAAAACTATGCTTGTGAACATTTTCTTTTTAATAAATACTATATAACTTTTAGCATAGTCAATGAAGCAGAAGTCGATATTTTTCTGGTACTCTCTTGCTTTCTCCATAATCCAGCGAATGTTGGCAATTTGATCTCTAGTTCCTCTACCTCTTCGAAACCCAGCTTGAACTTCTGGCAGTTCTCTATCCACGTACTGTTGAAGCCTAGCTTGTAGGATCTTGAGCATGACCTTTGACTGCGTGGATCACAACAAACTATGGCAGGTCCTTAAAGAGATGGGAGTACCAGACCACCTCACATGTCTCTTGAGAAACCTGTATAAGGGTCAAGAAGCGACAGTTAGAACTGGATATGGAACAACTGATTGGTTTAGCATAGGAAAAGGAGTACAACAAGGATGTATATTGTCACCTTGCTTATTTAATATATATATGCAGAGAACATCATGCGAAATGCTGGCCTGAATGAATCACAAGCGGGAATTAAGATTGCTGGGGAAAAGATCAACAACCTCAGATATGCAGACGATACCACTCTAATGGCAGAAAGTGAAGAGGACCTTAAGAGCGTCTTGCTCAGGGTAAAAGGGGAGAGCGCAAAAGTGGGCTTGAAGCTCAACATCAAAAAAACTAAGATCATGGCATCCGGCCCCATCACTCCTTGGCAAATAGAAGGGGAAGTTGTGGAAGTAGTGACAGACTTCACGTTCCTGGGATCCCAGATCACCAGACTGTGACAGCAGCCATGAAGTTAAAAGACACCTGCTCCTTGGGAGGAAAGCGATGGCAAACCTAAACAGCATGATAAAAAGTAGAGACATCTCCCTGCCAACAAAAGTCCGCATGGTCAAAGCAACGGTATTCCCAGTAGTCATGGCTACGAGAGTTGGACTATAAGGAGGCCGAGCGCCGAAGAATAGATTCTTTTGAACTATGGTGCTGGAGAAGACTCTTGAGAGTCCCTTGGACTGCAAGAAGATCAAATCAGTCAATCCTAAAAGAAATCAACGCTGACTGTTCCCTGGAAGGCCAGATAATGAAACTGAAGCTCAAATACTTTGGCCACCAAATGAGAAGGGAGCACTCACTGGAGAAGACCCTGATGCTGGGAAAGATTGAAGGTCAAAGAAGACGGGGGCGGCAAAGGATGAGATGGTTAGACAGTGTCATAGATGCAACGAACATGAAATTGAGCAAACTTCAGAGGGCGGCGGAAGACAGGAGGGCCTGGCGTGATCTGGTCCATGGGGTCGCGAAGAGTCGGACTCGACTGTGCGACTGAACAACAACAAATATAACTTTTGGTGCTGGTAGTGGTTCTCTGAACCACAGTGGCCTCCACGGTCTTGGTAATGCTATTTTAAAAGGAGGGCTGGGGAAGGCAGTCAGTTGGCAAGTGGCTATTCCTCCAGGGGTGCAGAGGGCAGTAAACAGTCCCTGGGGGGCCCAGCTGCTGGGAAGCGGAAGACACAGAGGCAAGGCCTCAGACTTGGAAGGGAAGCTGGGAGTCCTGACCCTCCCAGCAGGCAATCCCTACAAAGGTTAGGTGGGAGTGGCGGGTTACTGGAAAGAAAGAGAAAAGCCTTTCCAGGTGTTGGAAAAACCCTGGAGGGCAGGATGGAACAGGGCCTGCAGACCAGAGCAGGCTCATTCCACCACACATTAAATCAGAGATTATGGCAAGTGGCATAGTAGTTTATACAAATCCATTTCACATTAGTGTTAACAGGCAGGGCATTTCTTGCAGCATTTTAAAATACTTATTTCATCATTTGTTGCACAGGAAAATGGCAAGATCTTTGGGCTTTATGGAAAATTGTGCCAAAATGGTACTAAGAAATAAAAGCTGACAAACAGTGGGGCAGATCTAAAGCTTTTATTTCATTAAAAGAGTTGCAGCGGTTGATGGAGCAGGTAGAAAAATAGCAGCAATAATTGCCATTTAGGGGAAGGCAGAAGTAGTATAGGAATGTACTCTAGATATTCTTGAATGTGAAGAATCTTCTAAACACATGTTGCCAACTGTGTGCATAGAAGACAGTAATGCTTTCAAACACTAGTACACTGTCAATGATGCCAACAAGTACTTGCCAGTGTCAAAAAAACTAATTTAAAAGATGCACATCAAAATGATTGTACAACCTACATGCCATTGTTATGAATGACTTTACAAATTCAAGAATTTTATTAATAGTTTAATGAGTTGAAGTTACTCACATGGTTTTCAGGTTTCTTTTAAAGAGCTATTGTAGTAGGAAGATGAATCAACTTTTCCGAATTCTCAAGAATTTAATTTCCTTGACCCATAATCAACAGTTCAAAAAAATCCAGTATAATCCAGTGCATTTATTTCTTGCAATGTGTATGAAGTTTCCATTTTAATTTCAACACATACAAGTTTATGACAATTATCACTAGAAGCAAAACAGCCAAAGGGTCGAAGAGCACATGAGAAAACTGCCAGATTTGTTTTTTGTTGGAAGATAAAGTCAAATATAGGAAGCAAATTTTCTCTTCAAGGTTAGCAACTAATCAGAATCATCCATAAGTACAGCAGACAGCGAGCAGTCTATCTTCATTTTATCTACAAGCAACTAAACTAGAAACAGAAATTTACACATTTCATAAAGATGGTGAGAATTTACCATAAGCATATGTATTTGCATGTCTAATAGAAGAAGAGACATATTTACTGCTCTGTGTATCAGATAAGCAATTTAATGTGGTGTCTGGGACATTAATATCCACAACTGAATGTGGACATCAACCTTGAAAAAGCCCAAAACAAATAATCCGGCTCTTTCAGTTCTTTGTACTTAACACAAAAACATGTAATCTGATCAGTGGTATAGTATATTTCATGTTAACTGTCAGTGACACAAAAATCCCTGCTAGAAAGCACACCTTTATGGCTTCTGTAATAGCAGAAGGATTTCAAACTGGTACTTTGCTTTGGTTCTATTTCCCCCCCACTAGGAACAGAGCTTCAAACACCTCTGGCATTCTCTCAGTAGATACATATAATGCTGCTGCAATCCACAATACCAACTTCATATTTAGAAGTTTAACGTTCTCTTCTAGTTGTCCTCACTCTTTTTAAAAATGGAATTCAGCACGAGTATAATTAAAATGAAGGATCAGCTATGTCCGTTTCTGCAAATCTAATGGTTACAATAAGGTTCTAATGTCACATGGCAAAACATATGAACTTATTCAACTGAATAGTTTGCTACCCAAGAGTCAAGATGCCTCATATTGACCAATCCTACCCAAAAACAGAGCAATCATGAGCAAACTGCAGTTCCCATTTGGCTCCCATTCTTATTCCAAACATTAAATTGACAACTTAAAGCTTTATCGTAATTTCTAATATAAACAAGTGCTGGAATTCAATCAATGTCCATTTCAGGAAGTTTCTTTTCTGTAGATGCTGGAGCTGCTGAATCAGAATTCTGTTCCACTGTCTGAGACCCGCTGTTGCTATCTCCCTGGCCTTCTACTGGGCCATTTTGTTCTGCTGGTTTTTGATCCTCTTTTGGAAGTTCTACCTTGGGTTTTGGTTTGGTGACTATTGGATTACATGTGTTTATCAGTTCCTAAAATGAAAGAAGTAGAAAGTCTTATTTCCTGATATTATAAAGCCTAACACTTATATATAAATACTTCCAGTTTTCAAAACACTTCACTCATCTTATTGTAATTCTTTACAATACCTACTATGCATCACCACCCCCATCTTGCAGATACGGGAAGGGGCTAAGAGTACATGGCTTGATTAAGGCCCCCTACCAGATTCATGCCAAATCTCCAGTTCATGGGTATTGAACTAGGGCCCTTCCAAGACACAGCCGATTCTCTTGGTCAATATGCTAAATCAGCTCCATTTTACTTAAGTTTGCTGTACAAAAGAACAGTAACATAAAAATACTGTGCACAGACCAACTGCAATCATAATGCCTTTTCTTCCATACATACAAAAATGCACTGGAGGTGATCAAAGGACAGTGCAAAAAATTCAAGAATCAAATACTAATAAAGTTAGCAGAAGGTATTATGTTAACACCACTCAATCTAACAGTTTTTCCTTGAAGTCCAAAAGAATTACTTACTTTTGTTTTAGTATCAATCTCCTTCGCCTTGACAAGTGGGTCCAAAGCAAGACTTCGCTTATTCTGAAGATTGAGCTTGTTGTTCATCCACTCCATTGCCTCATTTGCACTGTTTTCCACTTTGGCCATCTCTGCTGCATCTAAGTGGTCATACTGTTCATCCTAAATTTTAAGAAATTACGTCATTATGCAACTCATACTGTAACACAAGTACCCATTTAATCTTTTTGGCGCATCCAAAACTAGCCTCAGCAACCAGATAAAAGTAACAAAATGAAAATGGAATCAGAGTTGATAAACTTCTCCACCATATACTATCACACAGTAATAAAAGTTTTACAGTTTTACAGAGGAGAATTGAAAACTTGATTTGTGATAAAAAAGAGAAAGCTAGAGCTTGCAAGTATTATTCAGGTGACTATTATATCACCCTGAAAATAGAAAAAAAGTACTACACTGCAATTTAAACTTTAAATGTTGAAAATATTGTCTGTCCAAGGTAAGAGGATGAAGATGGGGAAGCAAGAGATTACATACCTTTGCTTTAAATGCATGAACAACTTTCATGTAAAGTTGGATTTGTTTTCCTAGGTCTTCAAAGGCTTTTGGTCTTTCTTCAGATTCTTGAAATCGTGCCTGAATAGGCTGACCCACAGCCTGAATTGAAGAGATGTTTACTAAAGCATAGCTATATATCTGAACTCTACTTGTGAAATACGGTACATTCATTCATCAAGACTGCCTTGCATTGCAGAAATTCTAGATATTTATATCCCTGTGGTGTATTAAATTCTAGAAGCCAGTTTCCAATGTTTAATATACACAGCAGCTATGCACATAATGCAAAATTACTCCTGTGTACTTCAGCTCCTCCCACTGCCAAAGATATAAGCTGTTTGCTTCTACCAACATAAAGAACTACAGAAGCACCACCACAAAAAAAGAGAAAAACTTGTAGATGGTTCTCGTTCTGCTATACATAGTCTAATGGCAACTATGTGCAAGTATCACTAAGGTGTTAGACAAAAGGTCTATTACCGGGAAGACATACGTCTAGCAAAGCTGCAAAAGCCAGTTGGGTAAAAAGAATCCCAGGTTATGGTTGCAATGCACACTACAGGTCACTTGCTAAAGTTAAAGTATATTTCTAGCCGGTACTCCTATTAGAGACCTCTTCGAAATCTTAAGTACACTGCCTTGAGTTTTGTGATGGGAAGAAGGTAAGACATATGAAAAAACTGGTTAAGTACCTGCAACCATTAAAGCTTTTATAACACAGAACAAGATTAACACAGATGAGCTTGCATCATCTTAGAAATCTCAGAACACATTGTACTTAAGAGACAGTAAAGTTAAAGCTTCCACTGTAGCTTTTCAAGGTGTAGTACAGACCTTCCCCCATTCATGGGAACACACCCTTGTGCAGGGCTATAGCCAAGAATTTTGAGCTTATGGGGCATATGTTTTGCTGGTGGGGCACCCATTATGTGTCTGTCTGTAAACACTGTACACAACCGCAAATAATAAGCATACTTATAAGTCATAAGTAATAATAATAAAGACAACAATAATAATAATAATAATAATGACAAGTCATTTATCACTCAAAAATGTTTCAGGTTTATAACTGTTCATCAGAGCATGGACCCAGGGAAGAAGCATGTGCAATCCCCCCCTCCAAGAGTATAAAAACACAAAAAATGAGTTGAAATCTGAAAACAGGAATTAGGAGGGGAAATTGTATTCTGTTGGATGCCTCAAAAGTGGCCTTGAGCTGAGAAGGGGGGGGGGAACCAGTAGATGGAATTCTACCCAATGCCCACACACCCCACACTGCCATGCACTCCACCAGAATTGCCTCTTTCCTTCCACAGTAAATTTCCAGTTGTGATAAAAGGAAGGGTAACCATCTTTTCCCCACATTTTGTTTATGGGCTGTTCTTGGAACACTTCCTCATTTTCAAATGCATGCTAGTTTAGATAGGGGTGTGGCTTCTTTCTAGCTTTGGTTTCACTGCCTGTGATATACATTAATGCCCCCCTATAATTTATTCTCTCCTTCCAGGCTGAAAGTTTGAGAGACAGTCTCTCTCTCTCACCACAACTAAGCAAGATGAACAGAGGATTTTAAGAGCTACAGTCTGCAGTTCATAGTGTGGGATTCAAAGACCAGTCACCATGGGAAAATAAACAAACAGGAAGGGAGGGCGGAGTTGGCAAGGTCATGGGTGCCAAGAGTGGCTAATCAGGGCCAGCTGAGGCAAGAATAAGGAAGTGAAATTGGGCGGCGGGCAGGGGAAAGCAGTCAATATGTGCTCCATGCAGGTAGGGGCAGGGGAAGCAGGAGTGGTGGGGCCTGGGCCACAACTGATGGGGCACATGGCATTAAATGCCCCACTGGGCTACCTCTGCCCATGTGTGTCAAACTTCAGCTAAACAGTTCATACTGAAGTACCACTTACCTTTAGCTCTACTAGCTTATCAATGTAAACTTGCTTAGGTTGATCTTCACCCCCTTCATATAGCCAGTTTTCTGTGTCTTCCAACTTCAAAGTAAAGCTATTACGATCCTGAAGGGGGAAAAAGGGGGGAAATACAAGCCAATTTGTAAAGGTTACTCTTCCATGAGGATCTTATCCCAACACTTAAAACTGAAGAGAGAACAGGTGTGCTGTTAGCAGGAGAAGTGACAGGAAGAAGCAAAGAAGAAGAGTTGGGATGCAAGTGGGAAGATGGAAAACAATTGGGGCAGTTGAGAGAGTAGTGAATTGGTGCAGGTACCAAGTCTGAAGTAGTTGAAGTGGGGTGGGATTTCCATGTTGCCCAAAAGATATGGAAATACTAAATTAAATAAGTGATGAATTAAGATCTCCATAGTCATGCTGTGTTCTTTGGGTAATATACTTTACAAGCTACAGACCAGGCAACTGATACACTGAGCAAATTTGTCTTAAGTATAGACTCATCATTAGCAACACCTACCTCTTCACCAACAAACTTCTCATACATGCCACAGAGTTTGTCTCTCATTTCATAAACATACTCCTCCACTGCATTCTTGGCATCATTCCGTTCCTTCTCTAGTTTATCCTGCATGATCATTTTACCCTGTAGAAGATACATTCATTACACTTTTATTTCGGTTAAGAAACTCTTGAGAGCTCATTCCAAGCTCCCTTCACTCTGGCTTCAGACAAACTAATTTCTGTTCTCCAAACCTTCTACTGATACTTATGCTTACCTCATTCTCAATAAATAAGTTCAACATATCCTTTCCTCTTTGCCACAGCAGTTGATTCTCAATAGGAAGGTCAACCGTAGTTGTCTTTACTTTTGCCTTTTTAGCCTGAGGAGGCTGATCTGTTTTCTTGTCTTTCGATCCCGCTTGAGAGGTCTGAATAAAAAATATAATTTGGAAAAGAAAACATGACATCAGTTTGAGGATGGGATTTGCAGTGTACCCAATGGTGTGGTGAGTGGTCATTTGAGATGGCCGTTAGAGGTACTGAAGTGTAGTACAGGTGAGGGACATAAATGGAACTTACTCGGCATGTTTGACTGAGACCAGGATGGATAATTTGGACCATGTTATTCTCTTCCAAGTAATACCAGCTGGGTATGCAACCTCTCACCAACTCCAAACTTGGTGGTGGTGGTGGGAATACCATAATTCTCCGTGAGTCTCTTTGCTATGAATTTGCAATGCAAGCAATTGCCAGCTTTGATTGGGTATAATTTCTGTTGTGTTCAGAAACAGACAGCATATTCTGCTGATATACTGCCCACCTAGCTCATTAGTAGGTGCCCTGTATGAACTTGTGGAGGTGGGCTCTGGCCTGGTGCTAGAGAAACTCATGAGAAATTTCTGCAGACTTAAAGTATCTGAGCAGAGGCAGACTTGTTGGGCCACACCACCACAGTGTCAACTGTCCCAGACTGTATTAGGCCTTATGTATGAAAAGAGTCACACGAGGGATTTAATCTTTTCTACTAACCAGGTATCTGGTGATATGAAAAGGGGGTTAAGTAATACAGCCTGTGCCACAGTTGGATGATTTTATGTTGAAGGTGGCTATGGTATGATCCTGCAAGGGCAGTGGGTCAAAAGTCCATCCCTGGAGACTGATGGATCTGCCTCAGTTTCAGAATGCTCTGGGGAATTTTGATAATCTAAATGGCAACTCTGCTGAGGGGATGGGGGGGGGGGGCTGGAGTATTAGGCTCTTCAAAGCAACAGACCATGTCCTTGGTATCCTGTTCTTCTCTTGGCAGGAGCACAGTTCCATAGTTTGCTAAACAGCCAGGAGAATTTAAATTGGGTTGGAAGATACCATGAGCAACTTTGGTGGAAAACTCATGTGAAGTACTTAACAATTTCAGAGTCCTAGTACTAGACAGATAGCAATTTGACCATTAGCTGTGATGTCTCTGCTAATAAAATCTCAGATCTAATCTGGAGTCCAGTTTGGTGAGATCACACAGCAAAGGTGTTAAAGTCACTACCTGGACCTTTTTCTTGAGTGTTGTGAAGACCACTATGTGCAGTATAGATCTCTGCCATTCTTGATTATTAAAATGCTGAGATACTATAGCAGACTCTTGTCCATAAAAGGTATTGAAGAAAAGCAGGCCTGACCATTTACTTTAGCTTTCAAACTTGCAAAACATGCACAAGTTTTACCTTCTCAGCTATGTACTCACTGTCCCATCCTTGGGGACAAGGTAACTTTGAAGAGATGGATGGACTGCCCACAAAAATCTCCAAACAAACTGATCTAATAGTTCACAGTTTTGACACATATTTCTATGAGAACACTCTCTAACCTTAGAGAACTCTCACCTCATCAGAAGTGATAAACTGGAAGGTTTTGGTATGGTCATGAGGGTTTGATATAACTGGTTCCATATTAGATAGCCATAGCCAAAACACCCCTGAATCTCTCAGATGTGAGATCTATGAGACTATCTTTCTGAAAGTGCTTTGGTGAGTATCTCAGAAATTGTATTTTATCTTTTAATCTAAATTAGATAGGATAAGGGATAGTATGTACATCCTTATGTTTCTGATTTCATTTACATATGCAATTATTTTTGTATCATGGTGACTCTTTCACATTTACTCATCTTGAAAGTGACATAGACGCCACCTTATACCGGAAACCTACTGACGGACAAACGTACCTACATGCCTCCAGCTACCATCCTAAACATACCAAACAATCCACTGTCTACAGCTAGGCTCTATGCTACAACTCTATTTGCTCCAATCCTACAGACAGAAATTCTCACCTGAGGGATTTATAACAAACCTTTTTGGAACTAAAATACCCACCTGATGAAGTCAAGAAACAAACAAAGCCAGACGCCCTACCCAGAGAAAACCTGTTGCAAGACAGGCCCCAAAGAGACAATATCAGAACACCACTAGTGGTCACATACAACTCTCAACTCAAAACAATTCAATGCATTTTCAGCAACTTACAACCTCTACTGGATAGTGACAGTTCTCTTTCACAAGTCCTCAGGGGCAAACCTTTTCTTGCACAACCCCATCTCAAACAACTCCTCAAACACAATAATACAACATCTAATTTGAACATGGACACTGGTACTAGAGCTTGCAATAAACCCAGATGTCAACTTTGCTGCCACATACACCCAGACAACACGATCACTGGACCTAACATCAACTACACCATCACAGGCTTATTCACATGCTCATCTTCTAACATGGTATATGCCATTAAATGCCAACAATGCCCTTCAGTTCTTAACACAGGACAAACAGGTCAAAGCCTATGCCAAAGGATAAATGGACACAAATCTGACATGAAGAATCAGAAGACTGAGAAACCTGTAGGAGAAAACTTCAACCTTCTAGGACATTCAATGGGTGACCTCGAAGTAGCTGTTTTATTGCAAAGGAACTTCAGGAACAGACTAGAAAGGAAAATTGCCGAGTTGCAAGTTATTACAACACTCAGAACAATGGAATCCCCAGGACTTAACAGATATTGGTTTCTTATCTCACTACATATGCTAACCTCACTCAGCCCTTATATCTGTATTCTCACCAATCCCCCAGAAGGGCCATACATCCTCTTTATTTTATTTATTTGGAATAGATTAGAATAGCAGATTGTAATGTAACATAATGAACGGTAGACTATAATGTAATTTGGAATGATAGATTGGAATGTATTTCTGTGGTCTGGGGACCAGACCAATTGCCCTACTTCAAAAAAGAAGATGCTGTAAGGTCATATCCATGTTTGAGATGGAGAGTAATGGCAGGGCCTATTAATTACTCTCAGCAGTCCATAATTAAGGATACATCTGCTCATCAATCTCCAATTTTGACGTATTTATTTCCTTCATTATGCTTTCCCCTGGAATTAAATCCAAACAAATGGTAACTAAGCTTGTTATTCCTGTTTGGTCCTTCAGTCTGTTAAACATCTTCATTATGCTGTATGCTAATTTACTGCCCACCCTCACTGTATCTGAAGAAGTGTGCATGCTTTGTTGGACTTAAAGGTGCCACTGGACTCAAACTTTGTTCTGCGGCTTCAGACCAATATAGCTACCCACCTGAATCTGTAGTTTTGGAAATGATTAGACTGACTTCAGATAAAAATCTTAGAAGTTACACATGAGGGATCTTCATGTGGGATACAAGATTTTCACATGACACCTGGAATAAACAATCTTCTGACCTCTCTTCAGTCACAAGGCTGTTAACCTATAGAAATTGGTTATCAATTTCGTGGTTAATGTGTTGCTTTGGGACAGGCAAAGAGACTCCTTGTTTCCATGTGTCTGTTTTAAAAAGAATGCCCATTACATAAGTTACAAGCCAGCCAGGAGTTGAACCTTAACTTGCACAATATGGTGAGGGACCCATTAGTAAAAACCAATGACTCTTTGTAATAAGGGAGCTTCCCAAGAACTTTAAGATAAGGTAAGGCTGCTTACTGTTGTAGAAGCATTCTGTAGACAAGAGCTCCTAGAAATTAGGGGCCAGTTTTCATCCACGTTTTCTTAGGAGCATGAGCCAGTGTGATGTAGCAGAGAATCAGACTAGGATATGGGAGATACATATTCAACTCTCCACTCTATCATGAATCTCTCAGCTGATTTTGGATCACTCATTCTCTCAGGCTAACCTAACCCTACTGGGTTGTTGTGAAGATTAAAAAGGAAAACTGAAAGCTATGTACACTGCTCTGACATCTTTAGGAGGAAGGACAGAAAAAAGATGTATTAAAATGAATTGAGCTGGTGGTAGTTAGCAGAGCAATTTCTGTTTCTTTCTGGATGACTCGTTTGTCCTTGACCCTTTTCAATAAGGCTTCAAGCCCCATAAATAAGGGGAGCCTTCCCTTTTAATTTTGCTTGCTTTTTCGGTGGCATTCAATACAGTTAGCATTCAGTGGCATTCAATACAGTTGACCATGCCACATTATTGAAGAACCTGGAGAGTAGGGACATGGATCAAAGAAATGATGCTTATCAAACCAAGTTCCGAGGGTGGCTGCTATACCGTATGCCAGGCTGGTAGCTACAATGGGGCCTCTTCAGGCCCGGCCCCCTGACTTCCCACCCAGCCCTGGCCCCCCAACTTCCATTTTTTTTTTTTTTGCATTTTTAAAACTTATCACACACTCATCTCCACTGCCGGCAAGCTGTGCACTGCCCTCTCACGCTGGCTGTTCACCGCCACCAAGCCCTGCCCTCTCTCACTAGCTGCCTGTTGCCAAGCCCCGCACTGCCCTTTTGCCAGATGCTCTCTTTCTTCGCTGACAAGCCGGCAAGGCAAACCCCACGCCCACCGCCCTCTAATCTCATGCTGCAGCTACTCTCTCTCACTGTCCGATCATGTCACCTGCAAGCCACAGCTAGCAAAGCATGTCTCACCCGCCCAGTAGGCTGACATTTACTCAGGGTTTTTTTGTTTTGTTTTGCATCAAGCCGCATGGGAGGTAGGGATGCCAGACTCCAGGTAGGACCTGGGGATCCATCCCCTGGAATTACAGTTTAAGAAACCCAATGTCTGGATGAAACCAGACTATGTTACTGGGAATCCTACCAGATAATATAGATAGAACCTCACAAGACCTATTTAGATACATGTTGACAACTGCCAGAGTAATATTTGCAATGAAATGGAAGACAGAAGACTGTCCTACAATAGAGATCTGGAAAGAAAAACTAGCTGAATATGCAACATTGGCAAAACTAACTAATTATATAAACTGATTTTTTTTTAGCAGAAATGGCAATCTTATTATCCATATTATGGGAATAGTTAAATTTTTTCCTTTCGTGAGTTTTGGAATTATCTGAATACCATATTAAAAGTGATGAAGATATTGATTATAGTTTCAACACTTTATTTTTTATTACATCAGTATTCAATAATTAGCAAGAATAAAATTTAGATTTAGACAAACAACTAAAATAATATTCAGGCTTTTACGATTATTTAATTTTAGTGTAGGTGTCTGCTTAACTGTTAAAGATGTTATCATTTTATTGTTAATAATTTATTGCTAATTTTCAGAAAGTTCTTGTTTATTCTTTTAAACTTCTGACTTTACTTGTTGTATGTAACAATTGATAATATTTGATAAATTTGATGAATCAATACTTTCCTCCATGGGTCGTTTCGTAGAAAAAGAGCTAGGGGAACTCATTAGCATAACTCATTAGCATATGCCACACCCCCTGACATCACCGGAAGTGTGTCGTAAGGCCACACCCCCTGACATCACCGGAAGTGTGTCATAAGGCCACACACCCCGTCCCCAACGGTCCCGGCCGCCGCCGCCGGCCTTGCAGCTCCACTGCCGAGCCCCATGAGGGGCCCGGCGGGAGTGCAAGGAAGCCCCGCGAAGGCCCTCCCTGGCCCCAGGCAGGCAGGGGCGGGGAGAGGCAGGGAGGAAGCAACTTACCCTCCCTCTTCTCCTGCCTCCTCCTGGCTGAATGAGCGCCGGAAGCAGGGGGTGGGGCTTCGTCATGTGCCCCGCCCCCGTACCTCACCTCGAAATGACCTCTGCTTTCCCCACCCCTTCTTTCCTTTTGTATCCCACTTTTTTGAGAAAATAGTAAAAAAATTTCAATGTCTGCATAAGGGGTGTGCTCCACAAGAAAAAAAATTGCCCCACAAACCAAAACATCCTGGCTACAGCCCTGAAATATGCTTACTGGGATGTAATCTGAGGGATTCCACAGGCATCTGTACTATCTTCCACGCTTTTTAACATTTGTTTAAGGCTACTAATTAAACCATCCACAACTCTTGAGCAGATATAATCACATATGATTATGCCCAGCTTTACAACTCTTTAAACAAACCTTCTGAAGAAGCGACCTCCTTCCTGGGTAAGTGCCAGGATGCTGGGGTTAAGTAGCTCAAGAGGACCAAGCTAAATCTAAACCCAGATAAAACAGAGATGATACTACATGACAATTCTAGAGGGAACTGTGCTGCCTATTTTGGACAGGGTATAGCATGGAAATAATTTACCCATGTAAAATCTACTAACCCAGCTGTATTGGCCCAAGCAGTAACCTTGAATGCTAGACTACTTTAATACATTCTTCATTGGGCTGGCCTTAAAAGCAACTTGAAAACTTCAACTGGCTCAAATAGTTATAAACCTGGTTATTTACACTTCGCCACTTCATACATAAGTCATTTTCCAATTCTGGGCTTTAACCACTGCAGCTCCTATGTGAGGGAGTAGTTTTAATGGAAATGTATTTCCCAGTAAACATGCTTAGGACTACAGCACTGGTAAAAGCAGGTTGCTTACCAGTAACGTGATCTTCGAGTGGTCATCTGTGCGTTCACACCCATGGGATCTAGTGTGCACGCGCTGGATCGATCGGTGCTGTAGCAAGCTCTTTTAACGGATTTTCGCACCCAGTGCCTTGGGCATGCGCAGGAACCCCACCACGCATGCCCAGAGGGGTGGGCGTGGACATCCCACCAGTTCCTTCAAACCGCCGCAAATCAACTCCTAATAAAAATGTAGAAGCTGACAGCAGCGGGGAAGGAGGGGGGGTGGTGTGAATGCAGAGATGACCACTTGAAGATCATCAGTTACTGGTAAGCAACCTGCTTATCTTCAACGTGGTCTCTGTGCTTCACACCAATGGGAGATTAGCGAGCAGTGGCCTACTTGGAGGAGGGTGCTGGCAGGTCGTTTACTGCGTAGCCGAAGACAGAATGTGACGTCCCATGTTGGTATTGGTGTTCGTACGGACGTCTAGGGCGTAGTGCCTAATGAAGGTGTTAGGCGTGGCCCATGTAGTGGCTTTGCAAATGTCCGTCAGCGGCACTCCCTGGAGGAAGGCAGTGGAAGTCGCGACAGCCCTGGTAGAATGAGCAGACAACCAAAAATAAAGTAAAAGAAAGTTTGGAAATAATTCCTAAGAGCTGTGAGGCGAAAGCTAACAGCAAACCGATTGGACCAACTAAGAAGAGGTCTACTCAACACGGCGGTAAGAAAGGAACTGGTGGGATGTCTGCGCCCACCCCTCTGGGCATGCGCGGTGGGGTTCCTGCACATGCCCGAGGGACTGGGCACGAAAATCCGTTAAAAGAGCTTGCTACAGCACCGATCGATCCAGTGCGTGCGCACTAGATCCCATGGGTGTGAAGCGCAGAGACCACGTCGAAGATCTGGAAATACATGGATCTAGAAAAGGCTTAGCTTCTCAGTGAACCTGTCACTGTTATTTAAATAATCTAAAAACTAAATTTTACACCATTTTCACCTCCATTTCCTCTGACTCAGCCTTGTTTTCAGCTTGTGCTGATGGCAGATGTTCCTCACTCTTTTGTTGCTCTTCTTGATCTACTTGCATTTTCTGAAATTAGAAAGAAGACCAAACACCACACTTATTAAATACAACCAACAATATCAATCTCTCTTGCATACATGGAAATCTGTTTTGCCCTATTCCAATCACCAAGCAGCACAGCTTATCTTAATTTTGGGAAAGAATACTGTGTCCCCAGAGGACTAGGGAAGCTTCCTTATGGTACTGTACCAGCCCTTTCAGTTTGAGGAAGAATAAACAGTTCTAAGAGCTCCACTCAGATGGACAAATGGTGGTGCAGTACTTTGACAGGAGCATATAATCTCTTGGCTTTTAGAAGCTACTGGCGGCAGGGGAAGGCAGGAGGAGGTTGAGGCAAAGACAAAAGAGAGGCAGGTTGAAGAAGAGGCCATGACCGTCAGAATACTAGCTTACTAGTTTCAGAGGCCCAAGTACATCCATTTCCTGCAGATTTACCTGTGTGGATTTTGATTCAATAGCAGAAAGCAATCTATTTCAAGTTCCGCAATTACAACTCATAGCAATTACCTCCTCTTCTTTTGGATGCTGATCTGTTTCCATCGGCTCTTCATTGTCTTCTGACTTGTGAACCTCCACTAATGATGCACTTGAAACACTGAAAATGCCATGGATGTTTACTCTGACCTTAACTTTCACTTTTGAACTGGATCCATCTGCTTGCGGTGTTACCTTCTGAACTAAAAACTGACCTAGAAGAAAGCCAGCCAAAATTTTAATAAATAATTCAATTAACTATAAATAAGGGCTATTAGCTGAAATCAACTGTTGAAATAAACAGCATTTACCATCATTCAACTTTTATACCTGTAAAGTTTCCTCATTTAGCATTAGTTGCTTTTTTATGGCATGCATTCAAAATATTTTCTACTGTAGTACTGATAAAAGATGGTTATATGACGTGATCAGGGTAATGTATTCATTCTAATTTTGCTAGATCAGTCTGCTATTTTGGGATGTTTAATCATATTTTGTTGAACCATTTGGAGCAGGGTTTTCGTGTGTCAGGGATCACGCTCCATTAGTTTCATTCTTTTCTATCAGAGAAATGACAGAATTTCCTTGAATGATTCAGTAGGTATGTGACCTTTTACTTTTCTTTAAAATATGCTATCAATAGCTAAATGTTTCACTGCCAAAGGCTCATAATTCAGCTACTTCTATGCTGAATTAGTGTCTGAATGCCATGGTCAAATAAACGGAGAATGAGAGTTATGCTGAATGCAGACAAGATGGAAGTGATGCTGAATGGAGAACACTTTGAGACGTTTTAAGATGTTTGGGTACTTTCCTTCCCATGAACCCTGGGAAGTAGGTTGCTCTTTTTACTTCAGTGGGAAGGAAGTGTCCACCATCTTCGGTTTGGAGATTTCTGCAACTCAGCCATTATTGGGTGTGTCCCTCAAGATACCAGAATCCCTGGCCTTTAACTCCGAAAAACATTCAACTGACAAACATGGGAACCAGCTACAGCTGGACCATATACAAAGAACCACAGAAGAGAAAATGGTAAACTGTTGTGGAAACAACACTGCAAAGTAACAAAGAAAAGATCTAGGCTGGCCTAGCAGCTCCCCCCCCCCCCAGTGCCATGGGCAAGTGATTGATTTCTCATCCAAAGGACAGCCCCCCTGAAGCAGGGTGGGTCCAAAGGGTTCTCCTCTACTTCAAGTAAAAGGAGCCATCACATTAAGTCCAAGGTTCCATTTTCACTTGGAGAGGAGGACATGCAGACATTTGGGACTTTACCAAGCAGTGCATCCCAACCACATGGAGAACCCCCAGCTAACCTTTCTCTTTAAGGTTGTAGGACCTGCCACCCAAAAGCTGCATCAGTTGAGGCAATAGAGTCCATTTTTAATGCCTAATGAACTGACACTTGGCCCTTGCAGATGTTGACAATAGAAGAATTTATATTGAAAATTGCCAAAGTAAGGCACACCTGTGACTGGATGTGCAGTAAAACCTTCTGGTAATCGCAGGCCTTGAGAGGAATCTGCTAACGCTATACATTTCCTTAGCCACCTGCTAAGGGTAAATATGGAGAACCTTTGTCTTTGATCACAGAATGAAAGGTTGAAAATAGAGTATCCAACTGTCTGAAAGAACTTGTGCACCTAATGTAGGGCTTGTCTAAGATCCAATGGGTACCTTGGGGTGATGGCTTAGAACAGGAAGAAGGTAAAGACATTTCAGCCAACTGATGGAACAGTGAGTTCAGCTTTGGCATGAAGGTAGGGTCAATATGAACTATCACCTTATCCTTATGAAACAAATATAGGACCTTACACTATGGAAAGTAACCCAGTTCTGACATCTTTCTAGTTGATGTAACTTCCACCAAGAACACTACCTTAAGGGAAACTTGCTTCGAGGGCTATGCAGATCAGCTTAGATGTCTACCATTTCTACTTTTTCAAGACAATCTTCAGAAGCAATGGAATGGGGGGGGGGGGAATACAGCAGGCCCACCAGCCATGATGTTGTGTGGGCAGCCATCTGTTCTGCCATACAGCAAAAGATTGAAAGAAGCACGGGAGCTTGGTTTTCTCTAATGATGTGAATAGCTCTATTGCTGGCTGCACAGATTTCTTCATCAGCAGTTGAACCACTGGCTGTTCAGCACTCACTCCCAAGAGTCCAGATAACTCAGTCACAGTAGATTCCACCTTTAGAGAGACTAAATGAGTCTTAGCCCAAGACAGCAGAGCAGCTGCCTCCTGCTGAAGATTCCTGGACCTGGTGAGTCCCATTGTTTCCTCTAAGCTGTTAGTGTAAGTTAGCTCACAGTTTTTTAGCCTCCGGCTCACATACTTTTGTCTTGGCTCAGGAAGGATGGCTCCAGAGCAAACTAATTTATGCAATAGCCAAATTGCTTGCTCACAACATTAATGCCAGCAGCTCACAAAGTAGAATTGTTGCTCACAAGACTCTAGAGCTTAGAGGGAGCATTGCTAGCGACCCCCAATGGGCTTTTGCTGTTGTGTTGTCAGTCCAAGAAGCAAAAGGGTAAGAAGAAAGTCTAGTGAAGGGCCAATATTAAAAACCTAGTTAAAACTTATAATATACAAAAATATAAGTATATATTAGAAAGACAGTTAAAAACATACATAAGGGCCCAATGAAAGCCT